ACCTGGTTACACCAATTTACCTTAGGAGACCGATTTGGAATTGTTAATGTGGATAAATGGTCCGAATTTGGCAGAATTTGAGGTCTCCTTATCCCGCATCTCCTCCTTCCCACCACGACCTCTATGGGGGCCCCTAGGCTAGTGGAACACCTCCCCTCCTCCGTGCCGCAGTTCATGACCAAGGTCTTAGTCTCTGGTTCACCAGCTGTTTGAAATGCCGGCGTTTTTTCATACCAGTTGCTTTGGTCTTCTTTATCCCCCCTCCCCTCCTCATTGTTCTTCACAGGCTCCAGCCCCCTTCCTCTCTTGTCCCTTTCACCAGTCAATAATATCAGGGACAGTATACATAGAAGGGTGGGGGACCACATGGATGAAAAACAGTACACTACAGTAGATGGCAGTGATACAAGTGGTAAACATTCGGTGCTAGAGTCTTAAAGTGCAACAGTAGTAACTCCACGGCTACAGGCCACTAGGGCGATTCATAAGGTGCAGGATCTTAAGTGCAACAAAAGCTCGATACTGGCCCTCAATACTACTAAAGTGCGGCAGGAGGGATCGGGGAAGGGGTAAAGTGCAAAGCAGTTAGCAACAGAGATAGGCGCCTTAAGGTATATATGTATATATGTGGTTTTGTGCATGTGTTGTAATGTATTTTTTTGTTTTTTGTCTCTTCTGCTGTGTTTTTCAGTGTTTCTGGGAATGGTGATCACTCGTTGGCCTGATATGTGTATTGTGTCCAAATTTGGTGTCAATTTGTCCAGTCGTTTTTGAGTTATGTTAACCCTACAAATGAACATTACATTTTTATTTATATAGACTAGCTGTACCTGCCACGTGTTCCTGTGGCCAATCTTCCCTCCCTCTTTCTCTCCTTCCTTCCTTCCTTCCTTCCTTCCTTCCTTCCTTCCTTCCTTCCTTCCTTCCTTCCTTTCTTTCTTCCTTTCTCTCCTTCCCTCTTTCCTTCCTTCCCTCTTTTTCTTTCCCTTCTTCTTCCTTCCTTCTCTGTTTCTTTTCTTGCTTCTTTTGCTCTTTGGTTCCATCCTTCCTTGTCTCTTTCCTTTCTTCCTTCCCTTCCTCTTTCTCTCTTTCATTCCTTCTCTCCTTTCTTCCTTCCCTCCCTCTTCCCTCCCTTCCCTGTTTTTCTTTCCCTTCTTCTTTCTCCCTTCTCTACCGGTTTCTTTTCTTGCTTCTTTTGCTCTTTGGTTCCATCCTTCCTTGTCTCTTTCCTTTCTTCCTTCCCTCCCTCTTTCTCTCTTTCGTTCCTTCTCTCCTTCCTTCCCTCTTTCACTTTTTTATTTCCTTTTTCCTTCCTTCTCTACCTTTCTTTCTTTCCTTTTTTCCCTCTTTCTCTCCTTTCTTCTTTCCTTCCCCCTTTCTATGTATTTTGTGTGTGCATATATGTGTGTAAATATTTCTGTATATATTTGTGTATATGTGTATATATGTGTGTTTGTGTACATATGTGGTTTTGCACATGCGCTGTAATGTATGTTTTGGTTTTTGGCTTTTTAAGTCTCTTCTGTTGTATTTTCCAGTGTTTTTATGAGTGATGGTCACTTGTTGGCCTGATAGGTGTATTGTGTCCAAATTTTGTATCAATTTGTCAAGTGATTTTGAATTATGTTAATCCCACAAATGAACATTACATTTTTATTTATATAGAGTGTCTATTGCAGGGGTGTCAAACCCATTTTCAGTGAGGGTCACATCAACCTTGGTTGCCTTTCAGGGGCCATTTATAATTGTAAGATTTTATAAATGTAACTTGTATTGAAAGCCTCATGGGTTTGATAAACTGTATGTGGTATATAGGAAATCCGTTTTGCTCTCCCTTATTGGTTTTCCTTCTCAGGCAAGACATTTTGTCCATATTCCTGTCACTTTCTGTTCCTCTCCCTATTCCCCTGGGAATATTCCCCTAAACCAATTCCAAGGGACTCACCACCAGTTTCACATGACTTGCAGAAGGCCCTGAAGTTCTCACTCAAAAGTTCCACTGCCATCTTGGGATTCAACCAAGCCAACTCATCAAAAGGCATGGTCTTGTAGTCTGTTGATGAGAGAGTCAAGAGGTACAGACATCAGTAACACTTTTAGCAGACACCACTAGGCCCAAGCAATTATTTACTTACTTACTTATTTATTTATTTCATGCACTTTTACCCCACCTTTCTCCCACCGAAGATACACCAAGGACCTTGTCATACAGCCATCAGAATCACCAACATCATGGTGAATCCAGCGAACCTCATTGGAGGGTGTGGGGAACCCATGACCTCACGCCCCGCATCGCCCAGCTCGTGATTTTTTTTTTGTCGTGTCAGGAGCATCCTGTTGTGAGAGAATTGGCTGTCTGCAAGGACGTTGCCCAGGGGACGCCCGGATGATTTTGATGTTTTATCATCCTTGTGGGAGGCTTCTCTCATGTCCCCGCATGAGGAGCTGGAGCTGATAGAGGGAGCTCATCCGCCTCTCCCCGGATTCGAACCTGTGACCTGTCGGTCTTCAGTCCTGCCGGCACAGGGCTTTAACCCACTGCGCCACCGGGGGCTCCACAGCTCGTGATTGAGCTGATCCCATGACCTTCCCCCATTGCTTCCTATGGTGACCCATATGTGCTAGCTCTGCCCTAGATCATCCAAGGAGCCCCATCGGCATCATTTGATGGGAGCTGGCAGACTCTGTAGATGACCTAGGGCTTAACCAGCATATGCCACTGGAATTAGCTCCGTATGATGAGGTTGTAAGTAGCTATACTGATGTTTGTGTATTTACAAGCCTATATTATGTACAATTGTACATACATTAATTTAATTTCATGCTGCTCTGAGATCAGAATGAAGAGAGGGGCCATGAAGGCAGTTCCATCTTGCCTCCAGTGTCATCAGTTGAAAGGCCCCCCAGCACCAATTGCTGCTCTGAGATCATAGTGAAGAGAGGGGCCATGAAGGCAGTTCCATCTTGTCTCCTGCACTGTGCTTATATAATATAATATAATATAATATAATATAATATAAT